CCTTATTCAGCAACAAGTGTGTCTGGGAAGATAACATTCCTCCTCTCCTCTCTCACCTTTCTCCGGACCCACAGACTCATCTCTCTCTCTCTTTCTCTCTCTCTCTCTCTCTGACACACAGTGCACTTCTCGCTACAAATGTATCAACTTTCCACTCCCTTCACATTCCGCTCCTGACAGCAGAAAGCCTCTCTGAGCATGGGGAGCCACCCCACCCAGGCACAGTGTCATGCAGTGATTGGCTTCTCACCCCATCCATCTCACACTCTCCTTGCTGGCAGGGACAAAAGTGGAAGAAGAGAAGTTCTAGAGGGGTTTGGCTTAGATTGTCAGATCTTCAATGGATACAATGTCAAGGATCAGGGGATCTGACAGTAGAATGCCTGGCACTGTCTGATCTCATTGTAGTGGATATCAAGCTCCAGCAACAGATGATCAGGGAAACCAGAGGGCATGGCTACGCCCTAGGCAGCAGTGCACCCTAGGCGACTGCCGAATTTGCCTAGCTGTAGTGCTGGCCCTGCATATAGTTTTAATAATTTTCAGTAAGAATTCATTTGAAATTATTTAAGTTCTTAAAGTAACCAGCAAATCTTTTCTTTATAGAAAACACCTCCAGTTGCAAGATGTGTGTGGGTTGCATGAACTGCATGCTTCAAATACTCTAAGCACATAAGAACATTTTAATGGGATTTAAATCAGGGTTTTGACTATGCCAATTTACAATCCTCCATTTGTTATTTTTGAACCATTCCTTGGAGGATTTGGTCACTATTGTGTGGAAAGATTTGTTTTCAGTTCAGGTTCTATTTTTGGACAGATGGTCTTACATTCTCTTCAAGCACACTTTGATTCACGTTACCCAGACAGTTATTATGAAGTCCTTCTCCTGTTACTGTGGCCAAAAAACTCTGTCTGCACCCAGATACAAGTAACTGGAAAGCAAGCAGTCTGCTTTCTGGGAATATGTCCCTGGGTGCATACTGTTCTAAGTATTAGTACACCATTCAGCCCTGTCCAGCAACAGCAGCTTTCAGTCGCTCATGGAGATTTAAAGGCAGCTGGCAGTGGGGCTGGATGGTACTTCTGTTCTTTCCACCTGCAGCAAAATGCTGAGATTTAATGTACCAGAGCTAAACGTTAGTGTGTTCATGACATCTAAATATAGTTAAAGAGTCAACAATTTCCATTGGTTTTACTTTCTTTTTTACATAACTATTTTTTTTCAAAATCAAATGTTCAGTTTGGGATGCCCATTTTATAAAGAGCAATATGCCTGAGACTGGTGTGCATTTCTATAAATTAAAAGCTTTTAAAAGAGATATGTACATATGTGGTACTAACCACAGATAATGTATGGATTGTAGATGATGTTTGTACATAAATAAATATCTAGAAAGAAAATAAAAAACATTTAAATAGATACTATCATCACACAGAGGTAAAATTACCTCTTTTGCCAAGCACTACACATGTAGCCACAAACATTTACTCCCTCCACCAGGGGCGGACTGACAACTCATGGGGCCCCCGGGCAATAGGGGATCATGGGGCCCCTGTGTCCTTGCCCAAACTCAAAAAAGCCTATGAAAAAGGTACAAGGGGCATCTCATGGGGCTCCCTACTGACCCCGGGCCCTTCGGGCAGTGCCCGAGTTTCCAAATGGTCAGTCCGCCCCTGCCCTCCACTCATTTAGGCATAAAGTACAAGTTAAATCAGGGAAAAGTGAGGGCAATGTAGAGTTGGAATGCAGCTGTCAGTTAAGGGGGAGAAATTGGCAGTGTTTATTGGACTCACCACCACCTGGAGCCGCATGATGACATGCTACAGGACCAAAATCCCAGGCAACCACTACAGGACAGAGAAGTAACACTGACATTAATGTTCCAGTGGGCATACTGAAGGATATCAGCTTCCTTATTAAGTGTTCTTGCATGGCAAGACCACTTACTGTTATCTCACATATATATTCTTATTATTATAGCCAAATAAATAACAAAAATATATCCTCCTGCGCTTTTACGGTAAATGATACACTTAACTAAAAAGCAACCAGCATCTATCCCATACCAAATAAGGGCAATAATAGAAACACATATAAAAGTGATGCAGCGCTAATAATAAAAAACACTCAAAAAATAAAGAAAGTAATATACATAAAATACAAAAAAAATATATATTTTAACAAAGGGGGTAACAGATGACCCAAATCCACATGGGGATATAAAGGAGACAGTGACCCCTGGTACCCAAAAGGTACTAAATGAAGACCAGGTAGATATCTGCAGGAAAAACCGAACAGATAACAATGGCTTTGTGCAAAATAAAGTGTCCACAGTTCATATTTCTAAGACGTGCAGGTGAATCACAGCACACTCCAAACGTGATCCCAGGTAGTATGGCTGCAATGGCCTCTCACCTCCACTCTACGACCCCGCAGGGCCACAAAGCAAATGTAGATCACCTCTGGATCCCTCAAACCAGTGGCTCCTCAGGTAGGATGGTATGGGCAGTCATCACATACACAGTATTCAACCGGACCAGTGTGCAAACGGAATACACCCTCCTCAGATGTCAAAGCTCATATGCTCATAAGTTAAGAAGAGAACACAATCCTCATAGTGTATTACTGCTTTTAATGGCATAAGTAACGATAAGCCAAAAAAGAGATATATACACTGACATAGCAGCAGACTGTATCCAGATCATTGCAGTAAGCTGCTGGGTGTGCAGCATGATCAAAAGGTGTTCCAAGATGGTGTCACGCCGGAAGTACGTCACCACGCTATTGCCGTCGACGCGTTGCGCCACGTAACTCGTGACTTCGTCAGGACCACCCTAACTCCTCCCACAGTTTTTACACTACATAGACAGTAATATACCGAAACGTGCGGATTGTTCCCGATTGGTGTGCTATTACTTTGTGGAACGTTTCGCCGAATGGTTCACGAAATATCTGCGTTTTTGTGGTGAAATTGGTCCCATAGGAATGAACGGTGGAATGTTCAAAACTAGAGTGGGAGCTGACAAAACCTTTTCACAGTTACTCCAGCCACTCCAACCACACAATAGTTACTCAAGCCACTCCACCCAGTTACTCCGCCCACTCCAGTTGTAGACTACTGGTGGAGGCAAGAACACTTCACATAATTTCCCCAGAAATTGTAGCTTTTCTAGTTTTTTGTGTAAATACCCATCTTTTGGGTGGCAGGTGGAAAATATTTCAATTTAAATCAAACAAACCAATTGGGAGCTGAAAATATCACAACAAATAATACCATTTAAGGAAAAATATTTTTTGCTTACTTCTAACTGGCAATTCCATATGTGAAAATAGTATGTATATGTATGTGTATTTCTTTTTTGTATTTCTCTAGGTGTATATTGTATATGTATTGCCTGCTGATTTTTTAAATTAAATTGATTCACCTAATATTGGAGAACAACCTTTTCAGCCTTAAATAATTATTTTGTTAACAACTAATGGAATTGTTGTGATAATTTACAACACACACAGAAGCCTATTAAATTAGCATCCAAATTAATTTCACCTAATAGGATTAATTGAGTTCCCAACCAGTTGACAAGTTTTTCTTATAATTGATGTTCTGTAAAGAGGCCAAAGCCTGTAATTCATATTATTTTGTCTCTTTTTCAATTGTCTGCTTCTTTGAGTATTTTAGTGAGGAATATTAAGCATTCTTTCATTGCATTTATTAAAAACAACATTACCTATATACTGTAAGTATATATAGAATTCATTAAGCTATACACGACACATCACAATAATTGATGAAAGTCTTTACCTAACAGCACAACTATTTTATTATATTTGTTCAGAGATTTAATATGAGATTTAGGTTTTATAGTAAAAGTTGTTGACATTATTACTGCATTTTGCATAATTTGAACATGATGACATATGTCTAGTTCCCTAGATCTTCTTTCCTGCAACACTTCAAAGTAAACCTGTGCTTTTCAGTTGCAGAGTAAAGCAACAGATTTATTTTAATTGTGGCCCCACCAGCATCTTAAAGATAGCTTCCCAAGCAGGTCTCTACCATCACAGTATTTGTATTCATTATGTATTATTTATCCAAATTGTATGCAAAATATGGTGCTCTTCAAAATGTAAAGTTTTATTTTCTCTGAATGCTTTAGAAGACGCATTGAGAGAGATTTACTAAAACTGGAGTGTGAAAAATCTGGTGCAGCTCTGCATAGAAACCAATCAACTGCCAGGTTTTATTGTCAAAGCTTAATTGAACAAGCTGAAGTTAGGCGCTGATTAGTTACTATGGACAGCTGCACCAGATTCTGAGTGCACCACTTTTAGTAATTCTCCCCCATTAGATTCCTTATAAGCTAAGAACCTAGGACAGCGGTTCTCAACCTGGGGGTCGCGACCCCTTTGGGGGTCGAACGACTCTTTCACAGGGGTCGCCTAAGACCATCGGAAAACACATATTTCCGATGGTCTTAGGAACCGAGACACCGCTGCTCTATCCGTCTCCAGGTGTGGGCGGGATGACATGCCGCCCCTGTCATCTGGACACACACCTCGGGATCAATCCTCGCTGGTGATTGGCCGCCAAACTGTAGCTCAGGAGAGGCACACAGGCGGCCAATCACCGGCGAGGAGGTGGAGCTTGGAGAGGAGGAGCCGAGCGGCACCGCGAAGATCGAGCGAGTGAAGAAGAGGAGAGCGGCCGGGAGAAGGAAGACAGCTGACAGGTAAGTGTCTGTACCATGGGAGAGGGAGGGAGCGAGCGAGCCCAGGCTGGAGCAGGGGTCAGCAAGGTAAGTATCATTGGTGTCAGTGGGAGGAATAGTGCCCCATCATTGGTGTCACTAATACCAATGATGGGGCACTATTCCTCCCACTGACACCAATGATGGGGCACTATTCCTCCCCCCACTGACACCAACGATGGGGCACTATTCCTCCCCCCACTGACACCAACGATGGGGCACGATTCCTCCCCCCACTGACACCAACGATGGGGCACTATTCCTCCCCCCACTGACACCAACGATGGGGCACTATTCCTCCCCCCACTGACACCAACGATGGGGCACTATTCCTCCCCCCACTGACACCAACGTTGTTGGGGCGCTATTCCTCCCCCTGATACCAATGATGGGGCACTATTCCTCCCACTGACACCAGTGATGGGGGCGCTATTCCTCCCACTGATACCAATGTTGGGGCACTTTTCCTCCCCACTGACACCAGTGATGGGACACTTTTCCTCCACTGACATCAGTGATGGGACACTTTTCCTCCCACTGACACCAGTGATGGGGCACTATTCCTCCCACTGACACCAATGGTGGGGCACTATTCCCCCCACTGACACCAATGATGGGGCACTATTCCTCCCACTGACACCAATGATGGGGCACTATTCCTCCCACTGACACCAATGATGGGGCACTATTCCTCCCACTGACACCAATGATGGGGCACTATTCCTCCCACTGACACCAATGATGGGGCACTATTCCTCCCACTGACACCAATGATGGGGCACTATTCCTCCCACTGACACAAATGATGGGGCACTATTCCTTCCACTGACACCTATGATGGGGCACTATTCCCCCCACTTACACCTTTGATGGGGCACTATTCCCCCCACTTACACCTTTGATGGGGCACTATTCCCCCCACTGACACCAATGATGGGGCACTATTCCCCTCACTGACACCTATGACAGGCACTATTCCTCCCACTGACACCAATGACGTGGCACTATTCCTCCCCACTGACACCAATGACGGGGCACTATTCCCCCCTGACCCACTGACACCTATGATGGGGCACTATTCCCCCCACTGACACCTATGATGGGGCACTATTCCTCCCACTGACACCAATGATGGGGCACTATTCCTACCACTGACACCAATGATGGGGCACTATTCCTACCACTGATACCAATAATGGGGCACTATTCCTCCCATTGACATCAGTGATGGGACACTATTCCTCCCACTGACACCAATGATGTGGCACTACTCCTCCCACTGATACCAATGATGGGACACTATTCCTCCCACTGAGACCAATGACGTGGCACTACTCCTCCCACTGCAAAATTACAGTTATGAAGTAGCAACGAAAATAATTTTATGGTTGGGGGTCACCACAACATGAGGAACTGTATTAAGGGGTTGCGGCATTAGGAAGGTTGAGAACCACTGACCTAGGAGATAATATTCATGTCCTAGAAACTTCACCTGCAGAACACACATGCAGTTTCTTGTTCCCTTTAATCTGAAATGTAAGTATTTTCCATATTTACTATAACCAGCTCTTACTCTTTTAAAACTGATATGGAAAAAAAAGTTTTTTAGAATTTTTTTTTTTTTGCATATCTGTTCATCCACTGAAACTGCATGTAAATTCATTCTGGTCAAATGGTAAAAAACTGAATGTTCTCAGGTTATGATCTCTGCAGAATGAATATCATTCATTGAAAAAACAGGTGTGAATGGCAAAAATACTACATTTAGATCATTATCATCTTAAGATGGTGTTGATGAGCATAAATATTTCCTATGATATTTAAAGTGGAGTTCCAGCTAAAAAAAAAAAAAAAGTCAGCATCTACAAAAACTGTAGCTGCTGACTTTAAAAATACATACACTTACCTGTCCCTCTGTCCAGCGGTGTCCTCACCACAGCTGATTTCACCATCCATCTTCTCTCTCCCCAGTGCTGCCATCTTCAGTGTTGGCTCCTGGCTGTGACAGCTTGCGGCTTCACAGCTAGGTGCCCACTGCCCATGTGTGAGAAGTGCTGCACCTTGTGAATGGCCCCATAGTCTTCTGGGACTTGTTACATGTCCCAGAAGACTACGGGGAGAGAGGGGGGGATAGCTTCTGCTTTCGATCACCTAGACGATCGCAGCGGAAGTGGGAGCGGGTACTTGACAAATTCGGGTACCCGCTCTGCCCTCAACTCCCCAAAGGTGCCAATCCTTAATGGGGAGCTGGGGACAAAGGCTTAAAGCGGAACTTCCCCTTTTGGGTAGAGCTTCGCTTAAGTCATCCAGTGGCTATAACTTGTTTTCTTTACCCATTCACATTGCATTTTTAATGATTAACAATCAATATGTAGAGAATATAGCTTGAGAACATTTGATTTTGCTCCATTCACTCAGAATGAATTTACATGCAATTTTCATAGATGAAAACTAAATGCACCCCCTAATGATCTGTCTGTTAAAATAAACAAACATTGGTACAATTAATAGTTGCAGCACTCAGTAACATCTTTTTATAATATATCTATTACAACATATTGTTTATGTAGGAGTCTGAGAAAAAACAAGAATGTTGAAAAAAAGTTTTGTTTTTTCTAATTAACCCTTTATTAACCCTTGATACCCATAACTAGGGTTGCCACCTCATACCTTTAAAACTGAACACATATTAATTACACAGGTTCTGTGGCTGATTAAGGTGGTAATTAAACTCACTTAGTGCCTTAGCTGCGTTAAATAAGCCTCAGAACCTGTGTGATTAATATGTGTTCGGTTTTAAAGGAATGTGGTGGCAACCCTACCCATAACTGTCTTTAAAAGATAAGTATGACCAAAGCTTCTGGCCATACTCTTTTTAGAAACTCATATCTCTCCCTGTTCCCTGATCAATATTTTTTTTTATGAACTTTATTTTAACTTGTTTTGTACTAGAAATATATGTGCTTTTACAAACAGGAATACATCAAGTGGTCATTGGGGGGAATTTACTAAAGCTGGTGCACAAAGAATCCGGAGCAGCTGTCCATAGTAATCCATCAGCTTCTAACGTCAGCTTGTTCAATTAAACTTTGACAATAAAAATTAGAAGCTAAATGTTTGCTATGCACAGCTGCACCAGATTCTGTAAATTCCCACCCCATCCCCATTGTAAAAGAGAAATATTGGCAGTAAAATAGAGTTTTAATCCCCTTCCAGTTCCAGTCTGATATACAAATAGTTGGATTAAAACATTTTTACCTCATGGGAGTCTCTTCAAGAATCAAGGAGGGTCCTGCCACGGGAATATTATCAGTATTTACAATTGCTCCACTGGGTCCTATCCCTCAGCCGTACCTCTACATACCCTTACCACAAAACGCCTTTTGAGCACGTTTGTCAGCATTTCCCAGGGTCCCCTGGTCTCATTTCTGTAATTTATGCCTCCCTTAACAGTAGGTCCTCCTCACACACCCCTGTCTTATGTCTCTCAATGGGAGCAAGATCTGGGTGTCTCGATTGTGGAGGAGGATTGGCGTAGGGCTTGGGGGATGGTGGCAAAATGTTCATTCAATACAGTTACTCTTGAGGCAGTCTACAAAGTTCTACTGCGGTGGTATTAGGTCTCGGTGCCGACTGCTCACTTTAATCCGGCTGACGGAGATAGGTGTTTCCAGAACTGTGGTCTATGTGGGGACGTCTTGCACATTTGGTGGTCATGTCCCATGATTGATAGGCTTCTGGTCTAGGGTTTTTGGTTTGCTACAAACGCTATTTCATATTACTGTCCGTGGGGATGCAAGGGTGGCCCTCCTGCATTGCCCAATTTTGGGTCTGTCTAGGTCTCAGCAGAAATTGGCATCCTACCTATTTATTTCGGCCAAATGTGCTATAGCTCAAGCTTGGAGAACTTCTTCGGTGTCTTCCAGGGGTGAAGACCCGGATGAATGCTATGTTGATCAGATCAATGAACAGATGTCCAGCTTTCTTCATGATTCTCATCCGAGATTCCTTAAGGTTTGGGAACCTTGGTTACATTATTCCTTGCCATCCCCGTCTCCTACTAGTTATGGCCTCTTATAGTCGCTGACTGTGCTAGCCCTGGATCTGTGATTCTTCTAGTTTCTCTTTCCTCCATGTTTTCTTTCTAATTTTTTTTTGGTTTTTTTTTGTTTTATGTTCTTTATCCTTTTTTCTAACCTTTTTTTCTTTTTTCTCTTCTTTTTTTCCGGTAATATGTTGGATTACTGCTGCTATTATTTGGTTCGGCTTTTTGCAGTCCCTCCCTGATGTCATTGGACATTTTGTTATTTGGCTAATACAAGTCAGCAGGATATATCTGTTTATGGGTTATTGTTCTGCTCTGCCCCTGCGTGGGGTGTATCTTGAGCTTGTTGTATTCTTAAACTTTCTTAATAAAAATATTGAAACAGAAAACATGTTTACCTGTGTTTACCTGCAAAGCAAAAATATTAAATGGTTCAAGTTGGACTTGTTGAAGGTGATGCTGACGTCAGCCATGTTCTGTTGACAGTCTTTATCACACTGGTAGATGATGTAAACAGAGCATGCACAATAAAAGATGTTGTATATCTCCAAAAAATTTAAATGGCAAGATTTTTTGCATTCATTTCTGTTTTTGCCTGCTTTCACATGGCCAGTTCAGTGCTACTTTTTTAGCATTTGCACTCTAACATATTTATTTATGCTGCATTTCATAAATTCTAAAATTCTTCATCACTCTTTCGAGCCTCTACCAATGTTGAAACATAGAAAACCCTAGAAAGTAACCTGTACTCCATCATCCTAGGACATTCATAATTTTTTTACTCCCAGGACTCCAGGGTTGCAGAACCCCAAGCCCAATGATATAATTTTCTCGATCCACTTCCACTGGGCCTGAAGATGAGCGCTGAGCCACCAACTAGGAGCAACCCCTTGCAATGACTAGTTACTATACACCAGAGAGAGCAAATGCCCTGATTCTTACCCTGGCATTAAATTCCCCTTTCCTTCCTTGATGACAAATACGCTTATAGACAGTTGTTGTAAGAGGTCTATTTATGAAATACGGTTGCATGCAAGGAAGAAGTGGAGTCATTAACCCTTGAGCTGCCTGTTGTGGAGAGGATTGGGCTTATTGAAAGCTATACCTCTTTTTACACTCCAACAGCTTTGTAGGACATCCTGTAATTTAACCATTTTTAAAACGGGCCAATTCTGTAATTTCTCTCATACATATAAAAATCTGCATTTTTTTTTGCAAGGAAATTACTCAGAACCCCCTAATATTATATATATTTTAAAGCAAAAGCCCTGGAGAATAAAATGGTTGCTATTGCAATCTTTTATGTTGCACAAAATTTGTATAGCAGTTTATCAAGCACACATTTTCAGAAAAAAGTACACTTTAATGAATTTTAGTGCACACAAACACAATATAATACCCCATTTTTGGTAACATATAAAATATAGTGTTACACTGAGTAAATAGATACCTAACGTGTCATTTAAAATTGCGTATGCCCGTGGAATGATGACAATCTACGGTGCCGGAAAATCTCCATAGGTGACACTTTAAAAGCCTTTACAGATTATCAGTTTAGAATTACACAGGAAGTGTGGTACTAGATGTATTGCTCTCACTCTGGACGGGGGACAGTTTGAGGTTTTTTTTACCTTATTATTTGTTTTATTTAAATGTATTCACTCCACTCCCTATCCCTATAGTAAAACTAAAAATTAGACACGTTAAACCTATTGTCCCTGATTGAAACTTTCTTGCTGCTGTCCATTTTTACACCAATATATCCTCTGGCATATTTTTATCCTTGGCTGTGGCCATCTTGAGTAAGGGCAGATGATTAATTTAGCATTTACTTCCTGGAATTCATCTGCCCTTAGCTCAGGCATGCAGGCAGGACGGAAACCCCTCCTCCCCTCCTGAAGACTCCTTGGATGTATTGTATGACATAATTTGCCTAGACATGGAAACCAGGAATTAACTGAAGAAATGAAAAAAAGGTTTAAAACAAGTAAATTTGATATACTTTTCTATCTATTTACTAATGGTAACAGCATAAGGATTAAAAATAATCAATGTTGATTGAGAGAGTGAAGTTCCACTTTAATTATATTGTAAAGCACCTGCCTGAACTCTGTGGGGTGCATTTGCTAAAAAACAAATGGTTTGTTCACTTTGCAAGGTTATTTTTTCTTAGCTTAGTGAACGTGGTGAAAATTCACTTTGCAAAAAATACTCAATCATGTGCAAAGAAAAAAAAACACCAGAGGGCACAAGTGTAGTATCAAAATTATTCATAAAAGGACATATGGCAACTCACATG